TTTTTTTTTTGTAATAAACTTGATAATACTTTTGGCCAAATTTTACATTCATAAATGTAAATTTATTAACATGTTTTCATTTTATAAAGGATGTGTAACTGTTAGAAAACTGTCTCTACCAACAAAAAGGTCCTCAGGACAATTTTTATCTGTAAATCTTTGCAAATATTTGTCTAATTAACCCTGGTTGTTTGTTCATAGTGTTATTCCATTCGATTGTCTGTTGTATACTTGCCATTTGCTTAAAGATAAAAAAAAAATTAAAAATGCTTGTTTCCAGAATGCCACCCCCAAATAAACAGTAATGGTATGTATGACAAATGTAGGCTTTAAGATCAAACCAGAATTGGGTTCACCCACAAAGGAAAAAATGTAGTTTCAACAGCAGCAGGATCATCATTTGTACATTTAACTTTTAGATTATACTAGAGAATTCTTGGTTAGATGGATTGCAAGATATTTAGCTATGACTTTAACTGGGATACTGTCAAAATTAATTGAATGTGTTCCTGTAGAATTAAGTGTAGGCTACTGTATATCCATGGCTCCTGCAAATATGGCAACAGAAAGGTGTCCTCTTTAAGTCTCATACCTCTAGTTTTACACAATCTGGACAAAACTAGAATATATGTTTTAGAAAATAACTTAACAGTCTTGTTAATCTGTATGTTATAAGCAAAACACTGAAAATTGTTTTATGTACTCAGTGCTGGAAGACCATGTCGTCAAAATAATAATAATAATCTCCAAGTAAAACAAAATTAACACAATTTTCATCCCCATAACAATTCGAGCAGAAAAGCATCTAAACAGACAGTTTAGGTTGAAATGTTAAACTTACCAGTTTGGAGTTGCACAAGCTTTGAAAGCAGATGTCTTCATGAGATCCTGCTCTGCTCAAGCCCTGATTTCCATCACTCTTTTCTTTCGTGTTTAGCAGCAGACTAAATCTCACACTTCCACCTAAATGTCCTCTCCGAGATTCTTGTCTCATTCTGCCATATCTATTTACCTTCATGGCTGCAGCCTAATTAATGTAGGTCAATATCGCTTCGTTTACATGTGGTGCGCATATGCGTCGCAACCATTATATGTGAAGGGGACAAGTCCCCCCCCCCCCCA